AGCTCTCAGCAGCATACAGCCTTCTTGCTTTGTAGGAGTAACAACTGTCCTCAAATTTGGTTTAGTCATTCCCTTGCTTTTCTTTATAGTTATATAAATGTATATAATTCTGAGCAATATGTTTAATTTTGCCCATTTTTGATCTTTATATAGTGAAATCAAACTGGATTCTTACATACCTTTCTTATTCTGTTCAGTATTAAGATTTTGATTCTTAACCATGCTGATCTGTGATGCTCTAGTTAATTTTCACTGTGGTGCAGTTTTCCATAGTATGAATAGGCCATAGTTTATTCTGCCGTTGGCTTACGTTTGGGTTTCCTGATTTTTACACTGTGGACAGTGCCATGAACACTTCTACACTCATTTCTTGGAGGGTATGTACAAAGTTTCTTTAGATTGTATTCTCTCTTTATTCTCCACAAAGAGAGAGAAATAATTTCATAAACATCTGTATTTATTGAAACAACTGGTATTAACATGTCAATACTACTATGGAATTAAGATCATTTGTGTTAAGTGAATCCAGTAGATCTCAAGCTCTGTCCTGAATAAAAGCAACATTTTTCTTTAATGCTTATTTTACCTTTAGAAAATACTGAAAAACACTAGAAGAGAGTAATCTCCTATAATATCATTACTTTATTTCATAATTATAAAATTAAATTAAAACATTTGTTTTACTCTCCCACTCCTATTTATCTCTGCCAAAACACACCCCAGTCCCTTGCTAGGGGAGGCATTTATCACTGTTATCAGTGTGTGTGCTGTGTGCTGCTCACTGGGACTTTGTGCTTAGAGAAGTCATCTCTGTATATTTGTGTAAATTATTAAAGGTATGTCTATATAGTTTTAAAGAACAGTATGTGTGTGTATATATATACATGCACACCCAGCATTTTCCCTCATTTTTTCAAAATAATTTCAAATTAACACGGACACAAAAATAATTAACTACAGACCATAATCAGATTCTGTCATTTGTTCCCAAAGTATCTTTATAACAGGAAATTCCCAGATCATATATTACATTGGGTCTTCTCTTTCATTTGGAATAGCTTCTCTTGTCGTCACACTTCATGACCCTTAACAGTCTTGAAGGCAGTTACTAGGTAGAATGTCCTTCAGTGTTGGTTGGTTTGAGGTTTCCTCATGCCTATATTCAGGTTTTACACTTTTGGTAGAAATGCAGGGCTACGG